TGGATTCAGTACAGCACGACACCAAATGATAATAATCCAATAAAACTACTATTGTCAATGCCCAGTTGGTCGAAAAAATATTGGAAAGTGTGCTCATACATCAAGTATACTTTCTCATACATCAAATACACTTTATTATCTTGGCTATCATTGCATTTTTTTAAAAATCCAGAACAATTGCACCCACCGACAAAGCTTGTTGTAAATCTAGCATTACCATTTTGAAAACACATCGAATCTTTTCCAAGCATGTTCTCTGTTGATTTAATATTCTTTTTTGTGTGAACTATGAGCATGAACATTTGGTATAGTCTTGTGTTGATGAACAAATGACACATACACATATATAGACTTTGTCACCTTGTCGTAATAGTTTTTAGTCAACGGTTTATCGTTTGCAAACTTATGCTGACACTATCGAAACACCAGCTTAAATTCGTATCCTATTAGCTAATTTATGACACATCAATGTCAATGACGTCCATAATCCTAAATGTGCCTTGGTGATATTTAAAAATATTGTTCATAAATTGTAGAAAACCACCATCTTCCCCAAAGATAATTCAACGTGGCAGAAAGTCCAATCCTTGTTGAAGAGGAACAGATCATGTCGTTGACAAATGACAACGCAGTAGGTAAGTGGTCGATATACTCATGTTAAAATCAAAATAACATTTTTTTATTAAAGTTTGATTTTGTATTTCCAAATAAAAGATAATTGATATAACATTCAAACATTCTAGTTAATTTTGATGTTTGCGGGAAACTCTATGGAGGTTGGAAAACCCTTTGAATATGCATTACTGAAGTTATACAGACAGTAATATTATCATGTCAATATTAAAGGGATAATTCATATTAAATTATGATAGTATGTCTTATCAATGTAGATGCTTTTTGTTGTTAAACATACCCTTTCATTGCAATTTTCATTTTTGAGTATCGACTCAATGATGGAACAATGATTAATACAACCGATGAATCAGCTTTAGCATGTTTTAAATCGATATATATATTACATCCTTCCATTGCAATGCATTGAGAATGCTTCTATTGTTGTGAGACAATAACAACATTTGCTTTTGTAACGGCATCAATCTCTTCTGTGACGTCATCAATGTCATTGTTGGCACTATGATATATATGGGATCTCTTGTTCACGAAATATTCATTCTACTTATGAAATGCTACTATTTTTTTTTAAAATAAGTATATCCTCTTAAATTTGTTGACACTGTCAATTAATTACATGTTACTTAGATTTTATTATGGCTTAGCAACCTCAGTTCACCAGGGAAATTCCCACTACACAGGAGTAAACGTCGATTTATTCAGATGTATACAAAAGGGAAAATACAGAGAAACATCACCAAATAGTAAAGCCTCAATATGAAAAAGGAAATAAGTTATCATTAACACTCAGTGACATGAACCACATATATACGGGAAGTAAAACACCAAAAAATTAAATCGTTTGAAATGCTGGTTTATGATATTCGGACCACACGTCAGGTCCTTATGGTCAAAATGAAGTTTCTTCAATGTAATTATTTTTTTAGAAATACTTGACTCAGCAAATAAGTTTGTCATGTGATCTAAGATCGTTTTTGTTCAAATGTTAAAAGTAGAATTTCTAAAGTGGTGAGACTTTTACATTGCTACTTAAGAAGAATCATAACGATCGTGAAATTAAATATAAGTACTGGTCGGAAGTCAATGATGATCCGTGTTTAAATTCTAACGATATTAATTGACGTGATTACAATGACTTTATATCATTTTAACCCAAAGGCGATGAAAAAGAGGTGCGATGCTTCCAATGTGATGTATTCCGGGCAAACTGGAAACCCGGAGATGATCCATTGATAGACCATGACAGTTTTGATACAGAATGTCCCTATCGGAAGACAGAACAAAAGAAAGTAACAACTGAAAAGGTGAGCAAAGACTCGTGCAGATATGTTGTATTACATTTGGTATGTTCAGGTATACTAAATAATGTGCTGTCTGTCAAAAACGAGACATGTATTGATTCTATTGATCGTGTATACCCACTTGATATTGAAATCAAGGGCACCGCATACTGTTCTACTTCATCTGCTTTCCTTGATATTTACGTACGACACGATTACTATGGACGGCCTACTATTAGCCTACAACTAACTTCCGTTATTTCTCCTACCTCAGTGTTAACATGTCGCAGTTGATTCGGTTTTCAAGCGCTTGACCTGGCCTATATCTACATCATGGGGTCGTTGACCCTTTCTTGTCTTATTCGCCTATTACATTTTGAGGGTTTCCATGTAATACTTTCCTTTGTTATTTACTTTCCCGTGGTGTTATCGCATTCGAGTTCGACTTATTATGGTTTTGTTGGCCCTTTGGTATTCTCCTCTTTTTTTTGAAGTAAATCGATTTTGGATTTCTGCTTTTTATATAATTGAAATATTAGTATCGCTTTGGTGTTGAATTGTAAACGAACCAATTACTATGAATATATATTATTGAAGACGTGACATTCAAGTAATGTATGTTGTTAATATGTTGCTCATCTGTGAAAGCATACACAAAATGCACTGTTGCAACGTCACTTTGCTGACAGCGTCCGAGTATGAAATGTATCGGGTGGGTGCAAGGTTGGCGTTAATTTGTGCTTTGATATACTTGTGCTTAATTCCCTACGTTTGTTTTTGTTATAATGTAAATAATATCTAGAAGAGAACAAGAATTAGTACGCAAAATTGATCCAATGTGTGCTTTTAAGGCACTGAAATGGTAGGTGTTCAAAAACATATATGAAATACAGTAAGGTATAAATGAACACATATAAAAACTAACGAAAATAGCTTGCATTAAAAATATCAAGCATACAACAATATATTTAAGCTACTAATATTCTTACATTTTAAGGGTTGCGGAAAGGGTCGCCTTGTTGCACTTCAATTTGCCCGAGATGATTAACACTTGTTTTTAAACGTAATATCCTGTCCTAATAATGTACTTTATTGTCAAATGTGTTTTTCCAAAATACTTACAAATCAAGGTCTAATTATAACTTTTGTCGGCATGATTTATGGGGAAAATCCTACTTTTTTGTCTGTCATTTTCATTCTGCACAGCTTTTGTGCTACTCAGTAAATTGATAAAACATGAAGAAGGGGTCCAAACGAAACATGTAGTAATGACATTGATGAAATTGCTACTCCGCTATACTTACTTGCTAATATTTCCGAGATGTTCTGCCAACTGACCTTCATTTCATGTTACTTCATGACGGGAAAAACTCTACAGATCAAACTTTCTGACCTTTAGCTTCTACGTAAAATAATAAAATCTTTAAGTATTTCCATTTCCATCGTTTTGACATTAATAATGTAGTAATATCAAATGAAATTTCGAGACATAGGTTCCTCAATTTGTGTAAAAAGGAACATATATTAAAATCCTTTTCTATTTTGTATAGGTTGCCACATTGCCTAGCACTACTATCAAACGGAGAATGGGGATTGGTCCGTCACAAGGTAAAACGAGATAAAAACAAAAGAAATAACCAGTTATCATCACGTAATTTAATATATGTTTAGAATGTTTTCATACGCTGCGTATTTTCATGAGTCAAAAGGAGTAATTTTGTCGATAATATGTGCAATGTTTAAGTTATTTCTTAAAAAATATGAACATGTTTCAAAGACATTTATTTACGTATATTATTTGTCTTCATATCATGATGTTTGATATTAAGAACGTTAGTAAAAGTCAGATTTAATTCATTTACATACTTAAAATATCATTATATGCAACACTGAACATATGAATACGTTAGTTCATGATATGTAACTATTAAAATATACTTGGTAGATGTGATTAGTCTATTTTATATTTAAACTAAATTTCTGCAATCCTAATCTGAAACGACGAACAATTAACCAAGGACATTTTCTATTAATTTGTATACTCACTATTTCTGTTATAAGTTACAAAACAGATTTATTTTCTAAAGTTCTGAGATCAACACCCTTTTGGTAAACTAGCACTATGAGCATTGTTCAGAAAGATAATATGTCTGCGATTGCAAAATTTCGTAATCAAATAAGTGTCCGAAATATTGTCACACAACCGAACAATATTACCCGCTTTGAAAATGTAACTCAACTCATGTTCTGTTTGTATTGCAACAAGTGAAATAATGAAGTATGACAAATAGGAATGACCGTCTCAATCATATAAAATTACTGGATGCTGAAGATTATTTCGTTGATTAACATCAAGTAAAGTGCAGTATGAAGAAAAGTTATTGATTGCACATTATGCATAATTTTAGCATGATTTTTAATATTACCAGATGCTCACGAGAAACATGCTCAGAATCCGCAGCGTACTAGTCAGAGTGACAAGAACACTGACCCTTTATATCCAATCTCTACCAGGACCCAAACCAAACATGAATTATCTCAGTCAACATCCGTGGCAAATCAGGATGATCGGTTTGCATCTGATCCGAAAAAAGGAAAATATACCAAGGAGGGCATTGATTACGAAAATGAAGGAATAGTAAACGGTTCTTCCGTAAATACAACAGGTGAAAATGTTTGTTCAAATATTTCTGATGGTGCTGAACACACAAACGACAGTGATATGAAAAGTGGAAAAATGTGTGACATAGGCACAATAATAGCGCAAGACAACATGCAGCAAAACGGAGATGCTATCAACAAACCCTATCTCACAGTAACCAACGGTAGTATGACTACAAATGACAAAGTAGGCAACATAACCACGTTGCCATTACAGCAAAGCGACGTTGCAGATAGTAAAGACACATGTGCCATTGTTGCGTTGGCATTACCTAACAACAACAAAGCGGGGGGAAATGAAGGAGTAACTAGAAAATATATATCGGATGCGGAAGTCAGTGATGTTTTAAACCCCGAGCGCAACCCTAGCTACTCAGATGAGAATGCCCGCAGAGAAACATACAGAAAATGGCCATCTGCAGCAAACCACAAAATTGAATCTTTGGTGGACGCTGGATTCTTCTATACAGGTATGAAAACAATTGACATAGCATAGATGATAAATCAGTTTCCCAAATATTATTTTTTAATAATGAAACTCTTAAATGTTTTAGGAAAAGAAGATATTGTGAGATGCTTTTTCTGTGATATTGGTCTTGCGGAATGGAGTAACGACGATGACCCATGGGAAGAACACGCCCGTCACAGTCCGGATTGTCCACATCTCAAGGATCGAAAGAGCGATGAGTTTAGCTCCGCTATCCAAGCGAAATGGTTGAAGGTAAATACAATAAAAACTGACTTATAAAGATTGAAGAGTATTTTTTGCACTTTCATGCTGGTATGAACACAAATCGGTTACAAGCATATATATCATGAAGCTCGCTTAGGCTTCATTGTAAAAATGTCTGTAACTGATTGAATACTAACTATTTCGTTATTATTGACTTAAATTCCTATATCCCTTATATATTTTATATTGTTGAAATGTCTGCGTCATTATATAAGTGCAAACGAGATTCCTTGAAAAAACCTAAATTCACCTAAATAACGCTGATCAAAATGCGTTCATAGATATATCAACTTATTTTCTTCTTGTGATGTGTATGAAGGATTTTGGAGCAGAAATGTAAATATAATACCTTAACTGCAATAACAAAGATTAGTGTTGTTTGCATTTTGTTTACATGCGGGTAAGCATTTTGATTATAATTGTGGAACAATAAATTAACACTATGAAATACATCAATGCTTCTATATGGTGAAATCACAATACGTTGCATGTTTTTCATATATTATGTTTGTTTGAATTTGTATTTAGGTCTGTTCACCAAGGCATCAGCAATATACTGATATGATGACACTTGAATCCTCCTGGCCAGGAGATGTTGTATTGCAGTTACCAAAAGACCTGGCAGCCGCTTGTTTCTTTTACACAGGTATACTTGAGTAAAAACTCACAATCACTAGTGCTAGCATACAACACAGACTTATACAGATGCAGGATCACACGACGTTTAGCGATATGTCGAGTGCACGAAGGAAACAATCGCTGTGAGATAGCTAGTTGTAAATTAAAGAACCGCTAATAGAAACAGTTTATAGCTTATAGATACGGCTTCGTTTTCAAATCTAAATATTTCTTTGTTTTAAAGTTTGATACCACATACTCACTACCTCTTTAAGGCCCCATGTAGCTATCAAGTTAGGCAATATAACTGTTCAATTTTAAAGCATCATAAATGGTACTTGTATAGAATAATTAACATGGACGGTTTCTCCTCACGCAGGGCATCTTACTCGTCAAAGTGTGAACATGTCAGGTGTCACATAAAGAGCAACTAAAAAGTGAAACAACGCATTTAACATACATTGTACATGCTAGTTAAAGCTGTTCTCGATGAATAATAAATCACCGATCAACTCTCTCAATTAGCGAATGAACACCTGTACTGTTACGAACAGATGGTTAGAACTAAACTTATTAAACCGCACTTACCTTGAATATTGATTAGCGTGAAAATCAGATCTAGAGAAATACCTCCCAGAAATCCTTACCGACCAGAGACATATTTTAACAACTGTTCAAGAAAATATAGCATTTGTTGTATCAGTTGTATCCAATACAGTTGAATATATAGTAAAGAGAATCTCGAGCTCACTCACAGAAATCTCTACACCCTGTCCTGGTATCTTGGAGTCTGTCCCCATTTTTGACAGTTTAACAATCATGATAATAATGCATAAAATGTATCGGGAAATTGATTTGTTTTACCACATACAAGATAAGTTAAATACCCATGTTAATGTTACAGATTATGTAGGAATATGTTATCAGTTTAAATTAGATATGGCCCGTTGGTGGTGGTGGTGGTGGTGGTGGTGGTGGTGGTGTGCGTGTGTGTGTGTATGTGGGGGGGGTTACAGAATGTCATAAATTCCATGTATGTACTATCTTACAGTTGTTGTGTGATTGAACAACACCTCAAAGCTACCGTGCTCATATCGTGCATACATTGTGCGTACACCTTGTGCGATAAAATGTGAACATATGTGTTATATGGTAAGATCGATTAATAGACGTATCGGAATGCACATTTTGCTCTTTTTCTAATTCTCCAACGCATGTTACACGTTATAACAATAACTATAAAACTGTGAATAATGGAACTCTACTGTCAAGTACAGTACAAGTACACATACGTAGTGAATTGCATAGAGTTGATGACTGATTGGAGTTTATCAATGATTTAATGGTTAACGTATCAAAACACAACTGGACCTTACCTGTGTTAATTAATGGAATATTACGTCTTTGGTGGAAATTTTACACCTCCTTTACAGTTGACTAAGCATACAAAATTAAAAAAAACGTTATTTGGAATTTGACAGGTACATGTACCTGATAACTGCATTACATAATATCTGCGTGTACAGTACATATATGTATGTGATCGTATACTTTCAAACTTACCGATTAAGTTAAATTCAGAACAATTTTGGTACTTGCTTTGCCTATTACGTTGAGAAAAATAGATAACCATGTAAATCTGACTGAAACATAGCAACATACCTAAATCAGGAAAGATAGAGGTTTAAATACGAAATCGTATTCATTCTCAGACCATTCCTTTATATATATATCAACCATGATACCTATCAAACAACTATGCGATAGGTATCGCTCAGTTGTCCGAATGTGTGACGTATTGCGATTCTACAACTGTACAACCAAACTTTTTTTGCAATATATCATTGAATTTTTCATATATTTTTTTTATATATCATTCCGTTGTTTTAATAGACATGTTGGATACCATTGACGATACAGAGAAAGCAGTCCTCATTTATACACGTGATGATGGGAACAAAGATGTTATAAATGATATGATAATATTATGCTTATATTTAAGTTATGGGGTTGGGAGCCAATTGGGGCCTTCCGGTGGCTTTCAGCGATAAGGTTTTTTTTTTGTTTTTTGTTTTTGTTTTTACAATTAAATACATACCTTGATACCTTAGTGTTATGCCGTTAGGAAATCATATTAAACTAAGGTCAGCGCTCGGAGATATTTCCGAGATATTGGGGGCGGGTCAAATTAATTAATTACCTGATTTTGACAAAACTACATGACACTAGCACATAGTTAAAAGTAGGTCACAGTGACCCAGTTCTAATTCTGCTAAATTGTGTCAATGATATATATTTTCGTGCCTGACACATATAATACCATTCAATTAGCAGTAGCTGGCTTTAAATGGCTAAACACATATTATGAAGAAGCATTTTAGAAAAATTAGCTCGTGATGAGGCAGATGCATGCATCTGAATTTCAGATATTTAGTACACATTGGAAAGTTTTATATGATTAAAGTGTGCATTGCTATCTAGTTGAAAACCATTTTTCTGCCAATGCTTAAGTCAAGTTAAGAACTGTCTACACTGCCATTGTAAATAGAATTATCACATAAATGCATGTTTGTGTCTATTTTAGTGTATTTACCGGTACAATGAAAGAAAGTGAAAACAACAATGGACTTACATTTCAAATCCATGAAAACTGGTTCTCAAGTATATTGGTGTTGAGACAAAAGAAAAAGATGCATTGTATAGTTTATTCATTGTCACTATCAGAATCAGACCAGCTCTCAATCATCATAGCATCAAACATACACCTGAAATAGATTGATGAGGCACTTGGATGTGCTATACCAGTTTGATGATTCATCTAAGTAAAAGTACCTGAGGGCAGATGCAACGTGAGCACAACAGCGCCCCACTCTTATCAAACGCATGCCTGATCCTGTATGCCGCGAGCTCATACTCCCCATCTTAAGGCAACGCTCCATAGTATATGACTAAGCATGTTTCAACTGATAAATCCCAATCGTAAGATCTCTTAGCTCATGTTCAATCATTAAAGCCTCATCACCTTTTATCCCGTATACTTACTTCCTAGCGGAGCGCCTATTGTCAATTTGAAAATTAAAATTACTGGGACTCTGTGACAATGTTAAATTTATCTCAGTAATGGCAAAAATCGTAGTCAAGTGGGGATGAAACGCATTACATTTCCACTTTGGGATAGTGTTTTTCAGTCTGTAATCAAATACTTCAATACATCAATATTATCAAGAATTTTTCGAAAAAATGTCATGTAGTTTTGTCAAAAGGAGGCCTTAAATGAATTTTCCCCCACTTTACCGTCTCCCCCCCCCCCCCCCCCCCCCCC